ACAAGCAAGAGAACAGTGAGTGTACAGGCAGAGACTGGGGCGAGCAGCAGGCAAGAGAATAGTGAGTGTCCACGCAGAGATTGGGGCGAGCAGCAGGCAAGAGAACAGTGAGTGTACAGGCAGAGACTGGGGCGAGCAGCAGGCAAGAGAATAGTGAGTGTCCACGCAGAGATTGGGGCGAGCAGCAGGCAAGAGAACAGTGAGTGTACAGGCAGAGACTGGGGCGAGCAGCAGGCAAGAGAATAGTGAGTGTCCAGGCAGAGATTGGGGTGAGCAGCAGGCAAGAGAACAGTGAGTGTCCAGGCAGAGATCAAACAGGTGGCAGAATACCCTGTAAGAACAGCATCGGCAACAGAGACTGGAGTCATGAACAGAGTCAGGCAATCCAGGTCATCAACAGGAAATCAGAAACAACAGCAATCTAATACACAAGGTAGCTAGCAAGAAGACACGACACTGAACATCTTAAAGTAAAGTATTTATATACCCTTTATAAGCAATTTTTTAATAAGGAAAAAACACGTTAGTATAAAAAGTAATTTAAGTGAGTAAAAGCTGCAAAGGCACGGTGAGTTATTTTCTATAGTCAAACTATATAAGTAAACTGTGTTGCGCTAAACAATAAACTAAAACTGTTGAACAATATTCAGAAGATAAAAAATGTCCCAAAAATAATAATGTGAAAGTCCACACAATGTGTAACTATAAAGACAAATTCTACCAAGGATTCTTGAAAAAGGTGCCTGCACCAGGTGGTCAAAAATGCAGGCTTACCAAATGGATGTGACCCCTTAGTATTAGAGAAGTCATAAATAGCATGTATTATGGTATTCTGCATCTGCCATATCTCTTCCCGCTGCCTCTCAGAGTCACCAAGTAGCCCTGTTGCTCATAAATCACCACTTTCAGCTATCGGCTATATATGCTCAGAAAGAGAATAAGAGCAGATGCTCCATATATTGTAAAACCTTACAATATCTTTTTTTTATAAACATATTGCACTTACAAACATCACAGGGTAATTGCACATCTCCAGCTGGTACACAGACAACTTCCAGGGCACTTCCGGTTGCACAATCAGCATATAACTCTATCCTACGCGTTTCGTCATATGTGATGCCTTCAGGGGGAATGGCATCTGAGCTTGCCCAGCATCAAGGATGCATGCCAATGTATACCAATGCACACTAACGCAGATGCTCATAGTAATGTATGCAAAATGCTGCAGACAGACAGGACAGACCATGCCCCAGCTGGAAAACGTGGATCCTAGAGGTTCAATATTCTAGCAAAAGCTGGGGCTTCATGTACAGTACAGGCCCAAATTCCAAGTGGTCTCCAATTAAAAAACAGGAATGCATTTAGAAACTAACACAGGTACTAAAAAAGGCACCACAAAATGTCAGCCACCACAAAGTTTAGTATTGTTGTTACTATAGAAGCTTTTTAGGCCAGGTGAGGTTCACTTTGACTCTAGACCAGGGGTCTCCAAACTATGGTCCTCCAGTTGTTGAGGAACTGCAAGTCCCATGAGGCCTTGCAAGAATCTGACAGCCACAGGCAAGACTCCTAGGGGCAGGGGCATGATTGGACTTGTAGTACTTCAACAGCTGGAGGGCCATAGTTTGGAGACCCCTGCCATAGAGCAAGGAAATAACCATCGTAACCTCCCTGTGACACAAGACCTCAGAGCAATTCACAAAGATGTTTCCACATGCTTCAGAATATCCATATGATCCATTTTGATAAACAGTCATGGACTTATGATGGTTTGTATTTGGATCCTCTGTTGTGCCAATCTCGCTAGAAAAGGGGCCTTTCAGAACTGTTGTATCAAAATGGCAAAAATTTGGATGATTATGGCCATAATATACCATAATAATTATCGTTTTGTATTGACACATTGTGCACACGTATTTTTCATATTTTTTATTTTCATACAAATGGTACCAATTCCACTGGTTGTTTGTAACATGGGAACCTTCTTATCATCTGCCATAGCCTTCCCCCCCATCTTTCCCCATTCCACCCACCAATAAGTACTGACCCCTGTCTGATCTGTCTACCCCTTTATAATCTAATTCTCCCTCCCCCCTCCTAGTTTGAATACTCCTCCAGCCTTCCCATAAACCTCTCCCCCAGCACAGCAGACCCCCTTCCATTTAGATGCAAACCATCTCTAGCCTATAGGTTGCACCCCAATGAAAAGTCAGCCCAGTGCTCTAGAAACCCAAATCCTTCCCTCTTACGCCAGGTCTTCAGCCATGCATTGAGTTCTCTAATCTCCCCCTGGTCTTTCCTGAGTTGCGCATGGCACAAGTAATATTTCAGAGACTTGCGGAAAAAAAAATCTGTTTTATAATGTATCCTGAATAAGTTATGATACAATTCACTGGGCAGGAAAGTGATTACCGTAGTTCAGGGAGCCACCCCTGGAGTGGTGGAAGGGTGTGTATTCGGTTTACGGAGCGCAGATTTAGGTGTATCCCATGACTGGTACCAGGTGTGCTCTTCATGTTCCAACCTGTGTAATGAGGGCGTCAAGGGGGCATTTCAGGGTGTGTGAAAAGTTCATTCCTGCAAATTCTTTATCATTATATAAAGAGGAATATACCTGCAGGCTTGTCAATTCTTTGTTATTATATAAAATTCTATATATCTGCATTAGGTAAAAAGCATCAAATTAAATTGTACTCTGAGGAGCTTGTGCTACAGACTGTCAGTATGAGGCTGCATTAAACATAATGAAATGTTACGGGGCTTATTTGATACTTTTATAAAGAGAAACAGTATGTAGTAACCATGGCAACCAACTAGAAATGGGCTTTTGCAGGTTTTAGTGGGCAGATCGGGAAAGCTGATTTCTGACCTGTGGCTATAGGTGACTGCACTTCACTGCTATCATTTATTTCACTGTAGATAAGACAAATTATCAACGGCAGGGGCGTAAATAAATTAAAGGATCTATCCAGCCAGTCAGGGTCGTCCCTAGAGTTGGTGTCACCCAGTGCGATAACACTTGGTGACACCCCCCCTCCAACGATCCCCACAGAATGGATCGGATCTGCGGATTGAGCATAATGGATCGGACTCCAATCCATTATGTTCCCCAATCCACAGATCCGATCCATCCTGCGGGGATCGTCAGCTTTCTTTACAATTTACCTTTTCGTGGAGCGGGTCCGGTGTCACCCCGTATTGGTTGAATGCCAATGATCTCCGCAGGATGGTTCGAATTTGCGGATTGAGCATAATGGATTGGAGTCTGATCCATTATGCTCCCCAATCCGCAGATCTAATCCATCCTGCGGGGATCATCGGCATGCAACCAATACGGGGGTGACACTGACCCGCTTCACGAAAAGGTAAGTTGTAAAGCAAGCCAACGATCCCCGCAGGGTGGATCCGATCCGTCCTGCAGGGATTGTCGGCTTTCTTTACAACTTACCTTTTCATGGAGCTGGTCCAGTGTCAGCCCTGTATTGGTTGCATGCTGACGATCTCCGCAGGATGGTTCGAATTTGCGGATTCCGTCCGTCCGGCCATTTATATACATGGGCCAGACAGGAAGTGGTTAAAGTGGAACTCCAGTCATTACCTTTTTTAAACTTACTCTGGTCCAGTGTGGACCAAAGTAAGTGAATTTTATATCTCAAACTGGAAGGCCACTGGGGAAGCAGAAATTCACTGTCTTAGTCTGTGCTACATGCAGTCAGCACTGCTCTCTTCCAGATGCTGCCCAAACGACTAGCATTCTGTATACTAAACACAGGGGGTTGCTTGGCACCTCTGCCATTCAGAGAACATACAAGGCATTGTCTGATTAACCAATTCCCACCCAGCCAATAGCAAATGATGATTTTTTTTTTTTTTTAATTTCTTCATTTTCCAAATTATTATGACAAAAAAATTACAACTTTGAAAAACTCGCCATGCCCCTCACTAAATACCTCGGACTGTCTGCTTTGCAAAAAAGGGGTCATTTGGGGGATATCTGTACTGTTCTGACATTTTTGGGCCTCAAGAAATGAGACTGGCTGTCAGTTCATCAGGATTGACCGATTTTCAGATATATCCCATAGTTTGTGGACTCTATAACTTTCCTACAGACTAATAATAATAAACACTGATTTGGGTTATTTTCACCAAAGACATGTAGCAGAATACATCTTGGCCGAAATTTATGAAGAACAATTATTTATTTGCAAACATTTTATAAGAGAAACGAAGAAAAACTTTTTTTTCCAAAATGTTTGCTCTTTTTTTGTTAAGTTAGCATAAAATAAAACCCCCAGTGGTGATTAAATGCCACCAAAAGAAAGTTCTATTTGTGTGAACAAAATTATAAAAAATGAATGTGGGTACAGCGTTGCCTGGCAGCGCAACTGTCATTCAGGCTCCATGCGCACATGTTTTGTGTAGGCACGTTAAAAATGGGAGTTTTTCAGCTTTTTTTAGCGTTTTTACATTAGCGTTTAGCAGCTTAATGCCTCATTTAGCTGTGTTTTCCCGCGTTTGCGGTTTTTAGTGTATTTTTTAGCCAAAAAAAGTTTTTGCCAAAAAAAGTTCAAAAACACCGGTTTGCGGTGTTTTATTGCGTTTTCAGTGTTAGAGAGTTTTTACAGCTAAAAAACTCCTCTAGAAACCCACTAGTCCTCGTTTTTTTTTCCCAGCCAAAAAACGCCGCACTAGGTATTCTCATACTTTGAAGGAACTTCCTCCTACTTCCTGTTTTGGCTATGGGATATGAATTGAAGGTAAATCTTCCCAATGGGGAAGGTGTTAAAAATAAAATTGACAAAAACAAAGTTTGCCTATAGTTCTACTTTAGCAGGTTCCCAACCGCCCTATAGCAGAATTATTGCTACAGGGTGGCAGAGCTGCACAAAATCACTATATATACATGATTTTGCATTTCTGGGTAAGGGGTGCGCGGTTGCGCCGCCCTACCTGTGCCACCATTGGCGGCTACAGCTGTCGATCACCGGGTTCCAACTGGAGATTCCCTGCCGGCACCCAGTGATTGCAGAGGAACAGTGAAAGGGGAGAGGTCTGTGTGTAAACAATACAGATCTCTCACCTGTCAACACCGACATGCTGCTTTGTGTTGCTCTGCATAGCAGAGTAATACAAAGCAGTATGTTTCCCTAGTAAAACACACACAGCACACATAGTAAAACACCACACAGTTAACCCTTTGATCGCCCCAGATGTTAACCCCTTCCTGCCCAGTGCCATTAGTACGGTGTCAGTGCTTTTTATTAGCACTGATCACTGTATTGGTGTCACTGGGGATGTCAGGAGCATTGGTGGCTACAGCTGTCGATCACCGGGTTCCAACTGAAGATTCCCTGCCGGCACCCAACGATTGCAGAGGAACAGTGAAAGGGGAGAGGTCTGTGTGTAAACAATACAGATCTCTCACCTGTCAACACCGACATGCTGCTTTGTGTTGCTCTGCATAGCAGAGTAATACAAAGCAGTATGTTTCCCTAGTAAAACACACACAGCACACATAGTAAAACACCACACAGTTAACCCTTTGATCGCCCCAGATGTTAACCCCTTCCTGCCCAGTGCCATTAGTACGGTGTCAGTGCTTTTTATTAGCACTGATCACTGTACTGGTGTCACTGGGGATGTCAGGAGCAGTTATTCAGTTCCCCCCCAGAGTCAGAATGCCTGCCGCAGTCCCGCTATAAGTCGCTGATTGCTGCTAGTACTAGTATAAAAAAAATATTCCAGTATATATACCGCCATTTGTAAACGCAATTACTTTCACATAACCCAATGAATTTATATGTATTGGTATTTTTTTTATATATTTTTATATATATTATATATTTTTATATATAATATATATTTTTTTTATATATTTTTTTTATGCAAAGACATGTAGCAGAATACATTTTGGCCTAAATTTGATTTTTTTAATTTTTTTACTGGATATGTTTAATAGCAAAAAAGAAAGCTCTATTTGTGGGGGAAAATGTCATTTGGGTGCAGCGTTGCATGACCGTGCAGTTGTCAGTTACAGTAACGCAGTGCTGTATCGCAAAAAATGGCCTGGCCAGGAAGGGGGTAAATCCTCTGGAGGGCAAGTGGTTAAAGAGGAAATGTGGGCATTAAACCCCTACCTGACTCTTTGCGGAGACGGGCCCTTTAAATACTAATTTAAAGGGGCATGGTATGCTCATTTATAATATGGGAGGGAGGAAGGAAAACCACCTCCATTGTCCGCAACAACAATAGAACAGAGACGGTATCTTCAGTGTGTGTAATGTGCCATAAAGGGCCCTCCTAATGCTCTTGTATTGGATTAGATTCTCCCTTTCTAATATGCAAACTGTTGGTGCTATATAAATCCTGTAATAATATTAGTAGAGGGTTATGTGTATTAACAGTGTATACTATACACACCAGATTTCATGCGTTCAGCCTCTATGTTCTCCAGGCCAGTGACCCCTTGTTGGAGATAGAAGCTCTGTGTACTTGTATGTTTTTTAGTATTTGCTGTGTCATTCATACAGTGATTGGAGTCAGTTTATGGCTTTCTGAAACTGATATATTTTGTACTTTATAATTGGTTACATGTTCCTGCTTCTGCTTACGCTACAATATAGGCGATTCACTGGCATAAAACAATACAGAAAAGCATCCTATGTAAAATCTCTATGTCTACCAATCTACATGACTCTATGCAATTTGAAGCAAAGCCATGGAATGCTTATATACATCTAATACAATAATGTTAGCACTGGGTCCAAGGAACTCGGGTCAGAAGTGCTCGGTTCTGAAGGATCAGCACTGCTGTGTCAGGCAGAGGAGTGTCTTTAAGGGTCTATTCACACCAGATGCAATTTTATTTATTTATTTAATTTTTATTTATTTCAGGTACTTTTATAGCGCTGTCAATTTACGCAGCACTTTACATATGTATTGTACATTCACATCAGTCCCTAACCCTCAAGGGGCGTACAATCTAAAGTTCCTACCTTACATTCATACATACACGTTCTAGGGCCAATTTAGAAAGGATCCAATTAACCTACCAGATGTCTTTGGAGTGTGAGAGGAAACCGGAGTACCCGGAGGAAACCACCACGCAGGCACAGGGAGAACATGCAAACTCCAGGGAGGTGGTGCTGTGGTTGGGTTTTGAACCAACGACCCTAGTACTGAATGGGGCAGATAAGGTGACGAGGCATTTTGCCTTGTCATGTCATTTAACCTCCCATGGGCTGCACAGCAGCTAAATTGTTAGCATGTAGTTGGGCAGCATAGCGGCTAAATGGTTAGCATGTCATGTAGCCTCCCATGGGCAGCACAGCGGCTATATGGTTAGCATGTCATGTAGCCTCCATGGGCAGCACAGCGGCTAAATGGTTAGCATGTCATGTAGCCTCCCATGGGCAGCACAGCGGCTAAATGGTTAGCATGTCATTTAGCCTCCCATGGGCAGCACAGCGGCTAAATGGTTAGCATGTCATGTAGCCTCCCATGGGCAGCACAGCGGCTAAATGGTTAGCATGTCATGTAGCCTCCCATGGGCAGCACAGCAGCTAAATGGTTAGCATTTCATGTAGCCTCCCATGGGCAGCACAGCGGCTAAATGGTTAGCATGTCTTGTAGCCTTCCATGGGCAGCACAGCGGCTAAATGGTTAGCATATCATGTAGACTCCCATGGGCAGCACAGCGGCTAAATGGTTAGCATGTCTTGTAGACTCCCATGGGCAGCACAGCGGCTAAATGGTTAGCATGTCTTGTAGCCTCCCATGGGCAGCACAGCGGCTAAATGGGCTCATGTAATGCTAAATGGTTAGCATTTCATGTAGCCTCCCATGGGCAGCACAGCGGCTAAATGGTTAGCATGTCATGTAGCCTCCCATGGGCAGCACAGCGGCTAAATGATTAGCATATCATGTAGACTCCCATGGGCAGCACAGCGGCTAAATGGTTAGCATGTCTTGTAGACTCCCATGGGCAGCACAGCGGTTAAATGGTTAGCATATCATGTAGCCTCCCATGGGCAGCACAGCGGCTAAATGGTTAGTGCTGACCATTTAGCCACTGTGCTGCCCATGGGAGGCTACATGACAAGGCAAAATGCCTCATCACCTTATCTGCCCCATTCACACCACTGTGTTGGGGTGGGGTGCAGTAAAAAAAAAGTGCATGCAGTAATTTTTGATCAGTGCAGCTCCACAGTAAGCTAAACTTTTTTTTAAATTACGTTTTAATAACGTTTGTGTATAACGTTTGTATACAAAAAAAGTGAACAATGTGATGTGACAAGATTGACGCATCAGCACTGCACTGATCCCGCCAGACTGCACCGCACACCAGATGCTGAGGCGTAATGCAGCAGCTGGTGTGAACATACCCATAGGCTGCTTTCACACTGATCTGTATTTCTGCATCAAAAAAGCGGCAGAAAAATGTGTGGCCATGTATTCTTATGGAACTCTTCACACTGATCTGTTGCAGGTCTGGTGCATTTTTAAAAAATCCTGCTTGCTTCATTTTTCGCGCAGGTTTGGTGTGGCAAAAAAAAACACACCTCCCTACTGAAATTAATAGAAAACGTGGCAAAAACTCATCAAAAACATGTCCTGTATAAAAACATACTGGAAACGCAGTAAAACACTAAAAAGCGCATATGCATTTTTGCTATGGATCAGTGTGACTGCTTCACAACCAGCCTATTGGGTTTTTTTTTTCCAAACTATAGCTGATTATTGTTTTATGATGGCGGGGAAGGCTTCCCTCTATGACAGCACAATAGCACAGCGGAAGTGATTCCTTCATCCACCTCCGATGGGGAAATTGGCACATCAACCAGCGGATTGAACTGTAAAAAGAAGTATATTGTATGGTCTGCCTTAGTCAGGGACAATTTACCATCAGGCAGAGTAGGCACCCCCCTATAGGTGCCAAAGACAAAGAGGCAGTTTCTATATATTTACTGGTCATATCCTATAGGGATATTTACAATTTTCTAAGAAAGGTTAGAAAAACAAGTAAATGTTTTGTGTACAAGGCCTCATGCACACTGAGAAGCTCAAAAACGTGCTACAGGAGTTTTCAAAATATCCAAACAGTGACTGCATCTGATTGGGTGCAGTCACTGCTCAGAATAGACTGTTCCACCCAGATCCTTCCATTTTCAGATTGAATTTTGTGGAGCCTGGTGGTGCTGATGGTACCAGCCATGTATGGAATTTTGGGTGTTTCAACTGGAATCGGCCAAAATATGAGTTTTGTATGGCCAGCACCAGGGTGGATTTGATTAAAAAATCAAAGTGATTTAAATCACGATTTAAATCACTAGTCAGTAAGGCTTGATTTAAATTCTAGTTTTCTACATAAAGACTAATTCTTGGTGGTATAACTTTAATATGCAAGTAGATGAAGATTTTTAGAATAACAACTTTTCTTATTAGTTTTTTTATCCCCAGTTTAATAGGTTAATCATTCATATTTGGACAACTTTTCTGTTGTACTTAGGAAGGAGAAAAATAATCATTACCTTAACCACTTCCAGTCCAGACACTTTTACCCCCTTCCTGACCAGGGCAATTTTCAGCTTTTAGTGCTATCACACTTTGAATGACAATTGCGCGGTCATGCAACACTGTACCCAAATGAATTTTTTACCATTTTTTTGAGACAGATAAAGCTTTATTTTGGTGGTATTTATTCACCACTGGGATTTGTATTTTTTTGCTATGTAAATGAAATGTCCAAAAATTTTGAAAAAAAGTGTTTTTTTTTATAAAATTTTGCAAATAAATAATATTTCATCATAAATCTTGGCCAAAATTTATTCCGTTATCTTTTTAGTAAAAAAAAAAAATCCAAATTAGTTTATAAGCAAAAATTATAATTTTTAAACTTTTTTTTAATTTTTATTTTATTTTTTTATATTATTATTTTTTATTTTTATTTTTACATACTGTCACCCTAGCAGTGACACTGTACTACTTGTGGGGGGTGATGAAGATTTTTTTTTTTTTTACACTGATTGCTTTTACACCCATATAGGATGTAAAAGCAATCATTTCTCTTTCTCTCTCTGTGTGCATTCTTGCACTCATTGAGAAGTACTGAGTGAGCTGTGATTGGTCACAGCTTGTCACATGGTACAAGGCTTTTGTGAATAGCCTTGTACCATGTGACCTCTGTGATCATTGACAGATTTCACACGTAGTAAGCAATGATGTCAGAAGTGACATCTTGCTTACTACTTTGCATGTGATCACTGATTGGCCAATCAGCGATCACATGATCGGGACCTCGTACAGAGGTCCCGTCCGACGATCGGTGTTTCACTGTGTCCGGAGGACACAGCGGGCACCGGATCGCGGTGCTGCGCGCTCCCAGGGAGCGCGCACAAGCAGGGTATGGGGAGGCCGTTTATAGACGGCCACCCGACCCTGCAGTGTCACCATCCGGCCGTTTATATGCAACGGCCGGACGGGAGGTGGTTAATAATAACAATTTAAATAGATTTATTCAACTGAAACAATAACATTCCAGCATATGTTATTTGCTTAAACAAACATCCATGTTTGTTACCGTATTTGCCGGCGTATAAGACGACTTTTTACCCCTTGAAAATCTTCTCAAAAGTCGGGGGTCGTCTTATACGCCGGTATACGGCATACTGACACTTTTTAGGGGGGCGGCGCGTTTCGCCGCCCCCCCCCCCCCTTCCCCCAATGGAAGGGACACTAAGTACAGGGGTGGGCAGCGGCTGTTTCTTACCTGGTTCCGGTCCCACGACGATCCGGTCCAGGAAGCGCGGCTGCGCCTTCAGTTCGGCCACTGGATGTTCGTGCGGCTGCTCGGCTCCGCCTCCTCACCAGTGATTGGCCGCCAGAACTGTAGCTCAGGAAAGGCACACAGGCGGCCAATCAACGGCGAGGGGGTGGAGCCGAGCGGCCCCGCGAAAATCGAGTGCAGGACCAGCAGGTAAGTGGTCAGTGTAGAGGTGCTGCTGCAACCACATATGCTGGCTGCAGCAGCACCATACGAGAACAGGGTCAGCAAGTGTCAGTGGGAGGAATAGTGCTCCATCATTGGTGTCACTGATACCAATGATGGAGCACTATTCCTCCCACTGATACCAATGATGGGGCACTATTCCTCCCACTGATACCAATGATGGGGCACTATTCCTCCCCCCCACTGACACCAACGATGGGGCACTATTCCTCCCCCCCACTGACACCAACGATGGGGCACTATTCCCCCCCCCCCACTGACACCAATGATGGGGCACATCACCCCCCCACTGACACCAATGATGGGCACTATTCCCCCCCCCCACTGACACCAATGATGGGGCACTATTCCACCCCCCACTGACACCAATGATGGGGACACCATTCCCCCCACTGACACCAATGTTGGGCACCATTCCTCCCACTGACACCAATGATGGGGCACTATTCCCCCCACTGATACCAATGATGGAGCACTATTCCCCCCACTGATACTAATGATGGGGCACTATTCCTCCCACTGATACCAATGATGGGGCACTATTCCTCCCACCTAATGATGGGGCACTGATGCCACTAATGCCAATGATGGGGCACTATTCCTCCCACTGACACCAATGATGGGGAACTATTCCTCCCACTGATACAATGATGGGGCACTATTCCTGCCACTGATACCAATGATGGAGCACTATTCCTGCCACTGATACCAATGATGGGGCACTATTCCTGCCACTGATACCAATGATGGGGCACTATTCCTGCCACTGATACCAATGATGGGGCACTATTCCTGCCACTGATACCAATGATGGGGCACTATTCCTGCCACTGGTGTGCATTGGAAGAGGGGTAGTCTTATACGACGAGTATAGCTCAAACACTAAATTTTAGCAGGAAAAGTAGGGGGGTCGTCTTATACGCCCAGTCGTCTTATACGCCGGCAAATACGGTAACTAATTTGGCTAAACAGAATATATATATTTTAAGAGACTTAGACTGTCAGCCCCTTCCTCCTCACACTTAGTTTCACTTTCTTCTTGTGCAGATCTATTCCACTCCAAACAATCAGAAAAATATTGTTTCTATTCTACACTGAACTTCTTGAAACTTAGCACTGAAGGGGTTGATTCTGTATTCATAGGTTTGTAGAAGTTAGGATTAATGTCTTTTTCTTAACTCTGTTCATGTTATAACATTTTTGCTGTGAAGAAGAGGCATGTGATCTCCGCTGAGTCAAATTCAGTTTTGAGAACTGCAAAAGTAAACCAAACATCTGTGATAATATCTTGTAGGCAGAGAAACTGCCCAATAATCTTACAAAAACCTCTGGAAGAGCATGACATTGTGAATGGATTCATGGAATTTATTTATCAAAAAAATTAAACATATACAGCCTTATTCTACATAATTAAAAAACGAATCTTTATTTCATGATGGAATAACCTTTGGATGGTAATATATTTTCCTCAAAAAGCATTTTATTTACAAAAATCTGATTTTAAAAACAAAAAAATCTGATTTAAATAAAAAAAATCCAATTTTTTAAAAAAAAAAATCATTGATTTTTATCCACCTGGCCAGCACAAAGCTAGCCAACTGATTGGGTTAGGAGCTGGGGGGGGGGGGTAATATAACTGGTTTATGGAACAGGAAGTGTACAGCTGGTCCTGTATAAGTGTTTTTGTTGCATCTTCACTACGGAATTAATTTGACTTTATCAGAAGACTAAGGGAGGTGGTCAATGCATTACTAGGGATCAGGAATGCTGGGATTTTTCTTGATATCCTATTAATATCAGCTTATAAAGCAGGAATAAATAAAGATAAGCTGGTGTTCTAAATGACTACAACATATGCTGTAATGGAGAGATCATCCAACAATACAAGTACAGAATGGTGAACATGCCAACTTCCCCTCCCCCAATGTATCAGGTGACCGGCGGCACTCTTCTGGACAGAACCAAACTGTTCATTGAATGAGCTGCACAATGATAGTAATTGCTATAATTTGTCTTACGGTAACCATTGATGTTGAAATACGCATATCATTGTAGCTTGTCCTGGCTATGTCAGCTGGCAAACCAGCCCAGTCCACCCCTATCACTGGAAAATAAGAGAGGATTCACATCTACTAAAGATTCAATGGAGCCGTACTGTTTATATAAAATATATAAAATACAAATTAAATATATAAATTAAATTAAATATAAATTAAATATATAAATTAATAAAAATATAAATTAAATATATAAATTAAATTAAATATAAATATATAAAATAGGGTTTAATAATGAAGAAACAGGAAGGAATGAGGAATTAAGTGCTTTGAATGAGATGAGAATTTTTAATGGTACAACGGATAAACAAGTATAGTTAAAGGGACTGACCCATGCATAGCAGAGCATTAGTAGCTGTGTAAAGACTATGGAGATACATGCATTAAATGAAAAAAAAAAAAAAAAATCCAATCGGTGGGATGAATATAGAACACAGATTGGTAAAATGTAACATATAATATGTTTGCTTTTGGGTTTAAATATGCTTTAATGTTGGACTTTTAGGATTATGTCTGTGGCTCATTAATCTTTTTGGTATCTTCACCTCCAATATACAGTACTGTATTACATGTTCTCGTTTACTGATTAATTCAGATTTCTTTAGATGTTTTGGTATTTTTATTGATTTTTGCTCAGAGCATGTGTTTTTTACATCCTCACTGTAGGTATTTATGTTGTGGTTTCATGAAGTATTTTTTATATTATCCAATGACAAAAATGTATCTCTCCTGCTTTCTAAATTCTCGCATGATAAGACAGGATCAGAATTGAGCAGACATGCTGGTACTGTACCTATGTAATCGCTGTGGGAATCATAATTTAGAACTAATGGCTCATTCCACCAAAAATCAATATTTTAGAGTTGGTTGGATGCGGGAGCGTTAAAGCCTCTAACAGTTTCTTCTATCTCGGTATTGGTGAGAGCTTCACACCTGCTGTGACCATTATTAGGACTGTTCTCCCTGTTGAATTTTTTCTTTTATATTTTGGAGAATTTAACAGGAGGAGCTGAAAGACACAAAGATGGGTGGCAACACCTAAAACTCCCAGTTAAGTCGGAGTTGGGAATAATGACAGGGAGTTCTCACTGTTAAAATCGATTTAATTATTTTAGAAGTACTACACCGTTAGCTCACCCTCCTCTATACACTGAAATATTATTGTGGACCCATTGGTTAATGTCTGCCTTTTTTTACTTAAAAAATGTAGATATGCCCTAATCTGCAGTGGCTCTTAGGTCCTAAACATATACAGAAAGCCTTGCCTCCTCCCACTGATATGAGGCACTATTCCTTCCACTGATGCCAACAATAGGGAATAATTCCTCCTATTGACACCAATGATGGGGCACTATTCCTCCTACTGATACCAGTGATGGGGCACTGTTTCTCCTACTGACACCAACAATGGGGTACTATCCTATTGATACCAATGATGGGGAAATGTTCCTCCCACTGATACCAAAAATGGGGTACTATCCTCCTACTGATACTAATGATGGGGCACTATTCCTCCCAATGACATCAAGCATGGGGTTCTATCCTATTGATACCAATGATGGGGAATGTTCCTTCCACTGACACCAACAATGGGGTACTATCCTCCTACTGATACCAATGATGGGAAAATGTTCCTTCCACTGACACCAACAATGGGGTACTAACCTCCTACTGATACCAATGATGGGGCATTGTTCCTCCCACTAATACCTATGATGGGGATCTATTCCTCCTCCTACTAACCACAGCGACTATGTCATTTATTTTTTTTACTCCCACCACCACCAAGCCCGAAGCATTGTTTGCTCTGCTCTTACTGGCCACAATCCAACCCCACTAAAATCTGAAGGACAGTAAACTGGCCTTTTGTTTAGAAAGTTTGGGGGCCATTACTTTAACGCAAACCTAGCACTGGGTCATTTTCCTATAACGGTTACATAAAGAAAAGTATCTACAACCTTTTCCACAATCTGCTTATGATCTCTTGGTATGTTTTTGTGTCACCAGTGGCCTTGTTGTACACTTACCGCCACTTTATTAGGTACACCTGTTCAATCGCTTGGTAACACACATTGCTAATCAGCCAATCACATGGCAGCAACTCGGCATCTAGAAGTGGTGAAGACGACTTGCTAAAGTTCAAACCAAGCATCAGAATGGGGAAGAAAGGGGATTTAAGTGACTTTGAACATGGCATGGTTATTGGTGCCAGACGGGCTGCTCTGAGTATTTCAGAAACAGCTGATCTACTGGGATTTTCACACACAACCATCTTTAGGGTTTACAGAGAATGGTCCAAAAAAGAAAGTATCCAGTGAGCGGCAGTTGTGTCGAAGAAAATGCCTTGTTGATGTCAGAGGAGAATGGGAAGACTGATTGGAGATGATAGAAAGGCAACAGTAACTCATGTCAATATACATGACCAAAATCTCTGAGGAATGTTTCCAACACCTTATTGAATCTATGCCACGAAGAATGAGAGAGAAAAAGGGGGACAGACTATTTTAAAGCCCCTTTCCTTCATGGGATTGTGGCAGTTTCAAGTTCCTCTAGGTTGAATACTATAAGGGAGCTATATACATTTTCACAGCTCTTACTGTGAAGAAACCTTTCCGTATTTGGAGATTAAATCTCTTTTCCTCCAGTATTGAAATGGTTAATAAAGCTCAATTAAGGTTAGCTGTTCAAGAACCTTCTGGTAGTTTTTTTGAGGGGTCAGCGAGGATTGGCCAATTAAGCTCAGCTGACCCAAAAGAACCTTTCAGAAGGGCTTTGTAGTGCTAAATAAAGGAGCTGCCAGAGAAGGTTTTCGCCGCTTTCAAGGAAGGGTTACCTGGAAAGCCTTCCCTCCCCACCGCTCTCTGTTGTCACAGCTACATTTATGTGGTAGGGTCCCTTTTGTATTTTTTACGAAAGGGGACATTGAAATACTTTGTTCTGAAACGTTATGATGGCTTGAGTCTCAGTGGATGAGCTATGTATTTCAGTTATAATAAAGGGGCCGGTGAGTTTATAAATATATTAATAAAATGTTCCAGTTATTATCCTTCCATACAAGGACTTCTAACTATAAAACATCTTCAGATATGACTATGGGTCTGGATTTGCTTAGATGCGAAAGCCACAAGTACTATTCAAAGTCATTGGTGATTGAACATGAGTATCTCACAGAGGTTCTAACCTTTTCCTGCTCTATCTGAAACAAGTTAAACATTTTGGCTAGAGTTCCACTCTAAGCACACGTGTTCAACAAGCAGAAAGAAAACTGATGTTTTCTGTCTGTGCCTTTAGGGACACTGACCTAATTCAGTACATTTTTAGCATTTAAGGGTCATGCACATGTCACATTCCAAGTAAAGACATATATAAATATGAAGTATCATCATGGGATATTCCTGTGTACAACATTTTATTAAAGGCAGTCAAGAAAATATTGTGTATGTATATTGATAGATAGATACACTATATTGCCAAAAGTATTGGGCCACCCCTCCAAATCATTGTATTCAGGTGTTCCAATCACCTCCATGGCCACAGGTGTATAAAATCAAGCACCTAGGCATGCAGACTGCTTGTACAAACATTTGTGAAAGAATGGGTCGCTCTCAGGAGCTCAGTGAATTCAAGTGTGGTACCGTGATAGGTTGCCACCTGTGCAATAAGTCCATCCGTGACATTTCCTTGCTACTAAATATTCCACGGTCAACTGTTAGTGGTATTATAACAAAGCGGAAGCAACTGGAAACAACAGCAACTCAGCCA